ATACTGAGCTGTGTTAAGAAAGTATCCATTTCGGGATAATATGTGGATAAGTTATTACACCTAGCTGTTCAGAAATTACTTAGGGGGTTGTATCAGTCGTGTTCTTCTTGGTGTAACTAGAAGTTTCAGCACTGAGCTGAGTATTCATACCTTGATACGGTTTCTACAGCCTGTGTAGACGTGTCAGTGGCCTTCCCACGTCCTATTTGTTTGCATGCCAGGTTGGTCCCTGTTTGGTTGATCACCCTGACGGCCTCCCACTAGCACCAGTGGAATAAAATGACATTTTCTCCTTGACCCTTTCAGGCTCACGTTAGTTGAGTCCCTAGATGACTCTTAGTCATGGCTCAGACACAGCTTTGATAAGAAGTTTGTCTCCAGGCCTTTGTGGTCCTCGGGCATCTCCAAATTAATGTCCTTTGTGAATCTGGATAGTGGGTTCTGCACTGCGTGCTGACAGAAATTCATTTGCCAAAGATAGCAACAAGGAAAAATTGGGCAGCTTGGAACAAGCAAAGTGTCAAAATCCAAAGTAGCACCTGACAGTTAGCTTTAACTTTAAAAGATAATCTCAAAAACGTGGGAACTTTGTCAAGAAGAGAAAAATAAAAATTTATAAAAAACATTGTAAAAATAATAACTGGCTTATCGGTTATTTTAGTAACGACTTACTAGCCAGTGTCCTGTCCTGTGCTCGTTCTGCAGAAACAGGTGGGAGCCTTTGATGGGAGTGGGGCATGAACGGGGCTCTTGGACGGTGCTTGCAGACGCTCCCAGAGTTAAGAAGACCTGCAACCTCTGGTTCATTAGAGCCCGGGCTTCGATCGTTGTCCTATCTATTGTGTTTACCCCTCATGTTATAATAGCAACGTAAATTCTTCGAGCATCACTCTGCTTTGCTCCCAAACTGTCCAGTCATTCATTTGGTGTGTCCTTCAGGGACAGAGAAGAAAGAATTCATTACAGTATCATGTGATGAGTGCTAAGCGTGTGTTCCATACATGCTCAAGCCTGGTAAAATCCTCATGGAGAGTTACCTGGGGGAGGGAACGGAGTCTGAAATAGGAAGGAAGGAAGAAAGATGTGTTCTCGTCAGTGCATGTTGAAGGTCCTCCCACAGGCCTGTGGGGAGGGCACGCGCCCTGTGCTGGAGAACATGGAAGTGGGGTTGGTCCAGGAGCGGATGGAGAGAAGCGGATGGAGAGAAGAGCGGATGGAGAGAAGACACCGGGAGTCCTCAGAAGCCGCCGCAGAGCCGGTTGGCTTTAGCAGGAAGAGGGGAGAAACCCCTGTTTTCTGAGAAGTTACAGAGACGGGTGTGACTGAAGGGAGCTTTGTGGGGAGAAAGGGGATGGCAGGAGCCAGAAAACCAGACTCCTCGCTCGCCTCCGTGTTCTCACTGAAATGGGAGCGAGGTGAGAATGGGCTTGAGCATGTGCCTGATAAGGGGCAGTAGCCCTGAAGATGAGGGGAAACACTGCCCAGAAGACAGAAAGAAGAAAACCCAGAGTGGTACTGAGCACCCATTCAAGGCCAAAGACCATTGATTTGTAGTAACAGTGTGGGTGGCTGTTTGATTTTTCTCCAGCATTTCTTAGCAGTCTCGGGATACAAATGAAGGGAGCACTTTCCTAACATTGGTTCAAGGTGGCAGTTTGCTCTGTTGAGATAAAGTTATGTGCGTATTTCAGGACCTGAAAGGTGCTCGTGTGTATTTCACATGATCCGCTCAGAGGTCAGGCTCCTAGGGATGGAGAAAGAGACCAGGAACTGGCCCATCCAGAGACGTTCAGCGTTCCTCATCATCAGGGAAATAATAACCAGAACCGGGATGAGGCGGCTCAGGTCGTGATCTCGGGGTCCTGGGATCGAGTCTTGCGTCGGGCTCCCTGCTCAGCAGGGAGCCTGCTTCTCTTCCTGCCACTGTTGCTCCCCCTGTTTGTGCTCGCTCTCTCGCTCTCTCTCTCTCTCTCTAATGTGTAAATAAAATCTTTTTTTTAAGGTTTTTTTTTTTTTTTAATTAAAGATTTTATTTATTTATTTATTTGACAGAGATCACAAGTAGGCAGAGAGGTAGGCAGAGGCAGGCAGGGGGTGGGGAGAAGCAAACTCCCTGCTGAGCAGAGAGCCCCATGTGGGGCTCGATCCCAAGACCCTGAGATCGTGACCTGAGCTGAAGGCAGAGGCTTTAACCCACTGAGCCACCCAGGAGCCCCTGTAAATAAAATCTTAAGGAAAAAAACCCCACGAGATATTCCCTCACACCTGTCAGAATGGCTAACAACATGACACAGGAAGCAGGTGTTGGCAGGATGCGGAGGGAGGGAGCAGAGACGCAGCCCCGTCTGGAGAACAGCATGGAGAGTCCTCCGTGTTGAATACAGAGCTACCCTGTGACCCTGCAGTTCCACCTCTCGGGAGTTATTTGAAGAAAACAAAAACTACTAATTCAAAAAGATACACACCCGCTCTGTTGGCTGCAGCATTTACAGTGACCGAGATGTGGCGGCGACCTCAGTGCCCGCTTAGCTGTTGGTCACTTACCAGCACGTGTCCACCGGTGCGTGAATGGATGAAGCTGTGCCTGGCCGTGTGTGTCTCTCCGTTCGTGACAACGTGGGTGAACCCTCAGGGCCTCATGCTAAGGCAGATAAGTCACAGAAAGACAAGTACCATGTTACATCCCTTATAAGTGGCACCTAAGAAAACAACCAAGCCCATCAACAAAGAGGACAGATGAGTGGTGGCTAGGGCGTGCGGGAGCGGGATCAAAAGGTTCAGACGACCACAAATTATAAAATAAGTAAGTCCTGGTGATGTAACACACAGCATGGTGACTGTAATTAATAATGAACTGTAATTATTAGCTGTGGTTAATAATGCATAATAAATGCAAATTTAAAAGTTGCTGAGAGAATAAATCTTGTAAGTCCTCATTCTAAGAAAAACAATTCTGTTTAACTGTGGTGATGGACGGATAGTCGTGGCGGTCACTGCCCGGTGTGCGCAGACACGAGTCCTTGTGTTGTCCTGTGGGGAACTAACGCAGTCGTGTGTGTTGCTCATGCCTCAATGTATTTTATTTAATTTTTTTAAAAAGATTTTATTTACTTGAGAGAGAGCACGAGCAGGGGGAGGGCCACAGAGAGAGGGAGAAGCAGGCTCCTCGCTGAGCAGGGAGCCCGATGTGGGACTTGATCCCAGAACCCTAGGATCCTGACCTGAGCCGAAGGCAGACCTTCACCGACTGAGCTGCCCAGGTGTCCCCTCAATGTTTTTTTAATGGAAAAAAAAAAAGCCAGTCGACCAGGAGGAGAAAGAAGACAGTACTGAGTCCCTGAGGTTAGAGGGCCGGCAGAGTGGGACTGTGCTCATGCAGGAACCGGGCAGGAGAGAACAGCGTCCCAGAAAGTGGGATGGGCGTGTGCAAGGTTCCTGAGGGGGACCGCGTGGAGCCCGTGCCAGAGTGTTGCTGAAGCCGCCCGGATCACCGTGTGCAGACGCAGCACCGTCGGTGGCAGCTGGTCGTGTGGGCTTGGCGCCACTGTGGCCAGAGTGGTAGGCTGTGCGCACGGGGGTCTCCATCCAGACTGAAGCCCCATGGTCTCAGCCGGCCAAGTCAGGGGTTCAGGTGGGTGGAGGTGAAGGTCACTAGGACCCAGAAGGTCAAAGAGCTGTCACGTTGAGTGAACCCTTCACCTAGTAATTAACATGTAGGTGACAATATCTACCGGCATGTCTGACAGCTACCGTGATACTAAAGTGGTCGTGAACATAACTGGTATTTCCAGATACGGCAGCTGCGACAGGATACGAAAATGCTGACCACGGATGGGAAGTCAGAGGGAGAGAAATTCAACTGTTGGTCGTCTGTATTTGTGTTTGAAGGGAATGCTGAATGTCAGAAAGAAGTTACTGAGAATGAAGGGGAATCTTAATCACCCAAGTTCATGGACCCTCTGCATTTTGTCTCGATCCTCTGATTAAGAAATCCTGCGTAAAGGATGGTGTATTCAACGGGCATAAACCTGAGTAAAAAGCGGAGGTTTCTGCAGAGGCAGAGCTCCTGGGGAAGGGGTGAGGGCGCAGAGCTGGGCTGTCTCCCTAGTGGGTGTGCCTTGGGCATGCCTCTGTGAGTAGCCGCCAGTTTCCTGAGCAATAAAAAGCCACATTTAAGTCAAACCAGAAAAGCCAGGGGAGAGGGAGCCTGTGCTCCTGCAGACGGGAGGTTCGTGGGATGGTGAGAGGCCGGGCAGGAGTAGTCCGGGAGTGCGGGCAGAGGAGGAGGTGAGCGAGGACGGAGTAGCAAGGAAGGGGGTCAGGATGGTTGGAGGGAGGGGACCCAGCTTCCAGGTCCTGCCATCCTGGCGGCTGAGGCCGGGGCCATTGGCACGCCCGGTCAGGCAGGCCTTCTGGAAGCATTGGGGTGGTAGTGGGCCCCCGGCTTCGCCAGGCAGTCCGAGTGGAGTCCTGCTGAGGGACCGTTGGAGGCTCTGAGTGCAGCTGCAGACAGTGGAGGTCGCTGGGGACCCGCGACAGCCCATGTACAGTGGTGGGTGTGCTGGTGGCCACAGTCAGTGTCTGGTGTTGGTCCTCCCACTTGGCTTTGAGTGCATGTGCTGAACCCAGGATCAGGTGAGGGTTGGTGAGTAGAAATGAAGTGTTAAGAAGCGTTCTCTTCTGAAAGACCACACTTGCCATCCCGCCCCATGGGATGGGTTTGGGAGGGTCTGCGAGGTAAGAGGAGTAACACCGTGAAGTCAGGTCATGCAGTGTCGGGTTCGTAAGGACGTAAGGATCTGGGATCGTTCACGATAAACCTCGAGTGTGTGTGACTGAACAGTAGAAGCAGTGGTCTTTCCGGGCAGGTAGCATGTTAGCTTTGCCGGGCTGGACGCCTGAGCCCGCGCCCTTGCCCTGCCAGCGGCATTTTGTTTCTGTACATCAAACAGTGAATTCGTCACCGGTAGGCTGATTGTGTGTGTGTTGGTTTTTCCTAGGAATTAGCTCTCCGTAGCCAGTTACCGACACTGGAGCAGGATGGCGGGACTCCAAACCCGGTGCCCTCCCCTGGGATGTCTCAGGAACTGAGAACAATGACCACCAGCGGCTCGGACCCCTTTCTAAACAGGTGGGTGGGAGCTGCCCTGGCCAGTGTCTGAGAAAGGCCATAGTTGCCCGCGCGCCTCTCAGTGCTGGGCACACCCGTGGGGTGGCCGTGGGGGCCACGCCCCATGTTGAAAATGACTTTCTCGGCAAACGGTGAGTCCCACCAAGCTCTGGGCTTCAGAGCCGGCTCCTGGGGTAGGACATGTGACACGTTCCCGGTCACGTGTCTTCTTCTGGTGAGTTCACATCACGCAGTCCTGAAGGGGCACGTGCGTGCCTTCCGTGGAAGTCTCATCCTGGAGCTCCCTGAGGCCAGCGTCCGGGCACCCCCTCCCCTCCCCACCGGGCAGCGGCCAACAGCCTCCCCATCTCAAGGGCTATTGCTCAAGGCCATGAGATGGAAGGCCGTGCCTCCTTCCGAAACACCCCCGCCACGGGCAGGATTTGCTTGCAGATGCCTTTCATCGAGTTCACACAGACCTCGCGTTTGAGCAGAGCGAGGTCATGCTGTCCCGTGCGGAGCTGGGCTGGAGGCTGCGGGCTGAAGGCCCTTTCCTGGAAAACACTTAAAACTAAGGTTTGATGATGGTTCATCCTTTTAGGTTATAAAATATTGGCGGAGTTTCAGTTTTTAAAATATGGAGCAAATAATTTCTTGTCTTTGTCCTTTTAGGTTTTTTAAAACCAGTTTTAAGCAGTGCACTTTTAAAAAATGTTTAAAGGCACTTTAATACTACACTTAAATTTCTCACCAAGTGAATTGAAAACTGCATGATTTAGAAAATGAAATTTCTGGGGCGCCTGGGTGGCTCAGTGGGTTAAGCCTCTGCATTCAGCTCAGGTCATGATCTCAGGGTCCTGGGATCGAGCCCCGCATCGGGCTCCCTGCTCAGCAGGGAGCCTGCTTCCTCCTCTCTCTTTGCCTGCATGTGATCTCTGTCTGTCAGATAAATCTTAAAAAAAAAAAAAAAAAAGAAAACAAAACAAAATTTCTCTTATCCTGCCAAAACATTTAGTACAATATTTAATTTCCATCGTTTGATCAGTGTTTTCTTTTTTTTTTAAGATCTTATTTTTTCATTTGACAGAGATAGAGTAAGCACAGCTGGGGCAGGGGCAGAGGGAGAAGCAGACTTCTCACTGAGCAGGGAGCCCCATGCAGGGCTCAGTCCCAGGACCCTGGAATCATGACCCAAGCCAAAGGCAGGCATTTAACGTCCGAGCCACCCAGATGCCCCCAATCATTTGCTCCGTCAGGATTGGGGCTGGTGGCCTCGTTTCTTAGGATTGATTTTGAAGGCCATCTAAAATGTATTTTAAGTTCATATTTACTCTTTTGACACATAGAGTTTAAAGTTGTGCCAGTTTGAGTGCATGCGCACAAGGTTGTAGTTCTGAAGTTAAACTGAGGTTAGTTAAGAAAGGTCAGAGCCACACAACTTTTTTTCCCCAACAAGGAGCATTTCAGATAATCTAATTCCAGTGTCCATCCGAGGGCCTGTGTGGGTCCAGGGGTAAAATCGGACTGCGTAGATAAGTGGGTGGACCCTCTGGTAGTCACGTGTGAAGATTCTTCCTGAGAAGGTTTGAGGCACACTGGGCTGTCACTGGAGCTTCTGTTTTCTGGTAAAGATCACAGGCTGTCAGGTCGTCGGCACTGCTACTCTAAGCGGGGACTTCCGGCCACTGTGTCGTCCCCCAAGTCTGACACCTTCATCTGCTTGGAATGTTTGTTAGAAACTCTTGGTGAGGGGCACCTCGGTGGCTCAGTGGGTTAAAGCCTCTGCCTTCAGCTCAGGTCATGATCCCAGGGTCCTGGGATCAAGTCCCGCATCGGGCTCTCTGCGCAGCGGGGAGCCTGCTTCCCCTTCTCTCTCTCTCTGCCTGCCTCTCTGCCTACGTGTGATGTCTGTCTGTCAAATAAATAAATAAAATCTTTAAAAAGAAGAAGAAGAAAAAGAAACTCTTGACGGTTTCCCCGTTGCCGTTGCCTGCTACTAAGTTCATACATGACCCGTGGGCCCCACATACTTGTTACCCCACTTGTCACCAAGCTGGCTTTCAGCCCTGCTGCAACACCCCCCCTTTACCCCGAGAGCCCTCATCATCAGGTCCAGTGTCCCCTTGCACCAGCCTCTTCCGAGCTCCCCTCTCGGTTCTCAGAGCCATTTGCTCACACACTGCTTGGGTGCAATTCGTGAATGTACACATTAGCCGCTCCTGGACGGTACGCGTATCTCAGAAACCATCAAATACAGGTTTGTGTAGTTGTTGCCTCTGTCCCCAGAGTCTGGGCTGGTTTCTGTCCCGCGTGTCTGTGGGATGAGTAGGCAGGGAAGTGGCCCCTGTGCTCATCCTGTAGTGTGGACAGAGCTCCACACCAGGGTCTTCCGTGGCCGGGGCAAGCCCTGTGCTGCGTGGCGGGAGTGGCAACCAGGCCCTGTCCCATCTCAGGACTCTAGCAGGAGGAAGACAGACCACATCCTGAGGCCTCCAAAGCAGCACTGTTGTGTCCAAGTGGCCTTAGGGGCACATTCGTGTTTTCCTGGGTCATTGTGAGGCTTCCACCTCCTGCCAAAATCTGGCAGAAGCCTGAGAGTAATGTAGGGGTTTCAGTGTAACCATGAGGGGAGAGAGGACAGAGCCACTCCTTCAGGTCATTAGGGAAGAAGTCTAGGCCATTGAGGTTTCAACTTTCATCACGGGGCTCAATCTCAAGACCCCGAGATCACGACTTGCCGCTTACCTGACTGAGCCACCCAAGCACCCCAGGGGACTTCTTATTCATGGGCAGCAACTCCTCCCTTATTTAGGGAGTAGGCAGAGGGGCAGGCAGAGAAAGAAATGAAGGGAAGCAGGCTCCCTGCTGAGCAGAGAGCCCGACTCGGGGCTCGATCCCAGAACCCTGAGATCATGACCGGAGCTGAAGGCAGAGGCTTAACCCACCGAGCCACCCAGGCAACCCTGGGACTTCTGGTTCTTTGATTGGGGTTGATTGTTCCTTGGCTTGAACTCTGCCCGTGCTCCCCCACCCCACCCGCCCCCGGCCTGTGGAGCACCACTGGGAAATCAAGATCTTGAAATGCGTGGGCCGTGTGGCTCCCCCAGCTTCAAACGGCATCACAGAGAGAATGCCCACACGGAGAACTTTCTGTCCACTGGGAAGGCTGCCAGCCTATCATTTTTCTTCTCTTGCCCCCAGAGCCAGCACTGGAGGGGAGATCGGGGCCCCTTCAGGCTGCCCTCCTCTCCCTGCCAAGGGCCAGGTCTGAGTCCTGGCGAAGGGGGTGGGTGCTTGTGGTGTGCACTGAGCTGTCCACCATGACCTTGGAACCCTAGAAAATGCTGGTCTTTGACGCTCCTGTTTTGCAGTGGCACCTACCACTCGAGGGAGGAGAGCACAGACAGTGGGCTGAGCATGAGCAGCTACAGCGTGCCTCGGACTCCAGACGACTTCTTGAACAGCGTTGACGAGATGGACACAGGTGGGCAGTGGGGGTCCTCCGCTGGTCCTGGTGGGCCACCTTCAGTGACACAGCCATGGTCACCATGTCCGGGAGCCAAGCTTGTTGGGAAGAAAACCCGTCACAACCCTATAAAGTTCATTCCCATCGAGCCTGCTCTGTTTCTATATATGTAGTTTACAGTGAAAGTGTTTTCCCAGATTTTAAACGTGGGCAGCATCGCTCCCTTCGAACAGCACTGACGACACGACTTTCTGCAGCACTTAGGACCCTGAGCTGGCCTACAGGGTGGTGGAGGGCCCTCTCCACGCTTGTGGTCACGGACCTGTGTGGGTTCGGTGTCCGCGGCCTCTCCCCTGAGCTTTCTGGCCCAGTGTGGGTGTTGGGGGCTCAGGAGGGCAGGGGACTTGGAGCTCCTTGGGGCTCACCCACTGAGCCCTGACGGGCCAGCTCTCTGGCCCACAGCTTCTCGGAGCGCCGGCCGCGTCGTCTCTGCTCATGCTCCTCCTGCTCATGGCTTTGCTGCTTGCTCGAGTGCTCAGCAGCCCCTCCTCTTCACTTCCCTAGATCTTCCCTCCCCTGCAGGTGCCCCTGCACACCTGGCTCTTCCCCACACGCTGTCTTTGCTCCTGTCCCCCCATGGCTCTGTTCTCTGAACCACTGTGGCTCTCACAGGTTTGTCGGTTGAAGCTTGAAGGAGTGTGGTGCTGTCGTGTTCAGGAGCGTGTCCCGTCAGGCTCGCGGGGGACTCTGGGAGGAGGGCTAGCGAGCGTGGCTAGTCCCAGACCTCAGGGAGGCTTGTTCTGCGGCTGGGATGCAGCTCTCATCCGGAGTCTTGACGTTAGTGGTCCCCAGGGTGGCATCAAGGGGAGAGGGTGTGTAGCCCGCTGATATTCGATCTCATTGCGGGGGCGGGGTCCGCAGTGGTGCTCTTGGGCAGTGTCCTCGCTGGAAGGAAAGTGTCGTGGGACGTTCATTTCTTTCACGAGCCCCTTTAGTGCCGAGTATCGAGTAATGAGAGTCTTATGCCGTTGCTTCAGGATCTGAATAAATGTTAAAGCAAAAGTTACGTTGGCATTACTGTGTGTTCTGCAAGTTGTTCAGCCTGAAGTAAACTCTGGGCGTTGGCTCAGGAGGTCAGTGGGGAGAGCTTCTCCCTCTCTCTGCATTTCCGAGTGCTCTCACAGTACAGCTCTGATGGTAGCTTTTGAAAGGGACCTTATTCTCTTTTCTCTGTCCCCACCAGGCGACACTATCAACCAAAGCACCGTGCCCCCCCAGCAGAGCCGTTTCCCAGACTACCTAGAAGCCCTTCCGGGGACAAACGTGGACCTTGGCACGCTGGAGGGCGACGGGATGAGCATGGAAGGGGAGGAGTTGATGCCCAGCCTGCAGGAGGCCCTGAGCTCTGACATCCTCAGCGACATGGAGTCTGTGCTCGCCGCCACCAAGCTCGATAAGGAAAGCTTTCTCACGTGGTTGTAGAGCCCGCAGGTAGACCGAATGCCACATCTGTGAAGGATCCAAGGAGAGGTTCTCCAGGAAGCCAGTCGCAGTCTCCGGGTTCACGCCGGAGAAGAGGAATAGACGTCCAGCAGGATTCTTCGATCCGTCGTTTCGCTCTTCTTGTCCGTTGCTGCTGTTGATATATTGCTGACCTCTTTCATAGTTGGCTCTAAAGAATCAAAAAACACGTTTTTGGTTTCTTTTGCTATTATAACTACTGTTCGTTTGGGGGGCTGGGGGCAGTGAGCCTGTTTGGATGACGGATGCCATGCCTCTCGCCCAGTTAGGTGTTCGCCTGTCGTGTCGAGCAAACACGTGGACTTGGGAGTCAGATGCGTCACGTCACAGCATTTCATTTGTGCGGGCGGTTGTCTGTCCAGTGGTCTTTGGCCGGTGGGAAAACATGACTTACCGGTCAGTCAAGCCAGAGCGATTGCACCACCGCTCAGTGGTTGGTGCTGATTCGATGAGCTCGCTGAAACCAAGGCTGGAGACCGCTTCACTTTCAGTGTTTTTCCCTCCTCGTGCTATCATTAGTCACGTAGTGACCTTGATTTTATTTTAGGAGCTTATAAGGCATAAGACAGTTTCCGTAGAAATGTATTAATTATTGCCACATACTCTAGTATAGGTTTTGCTGGGTTTTATTCTGGGTTTGTTTTTGTTTTGATTGGTTGGGCTGTGTCTTTTTTGTTTTTTGTTTTAGTTTTTGTTTTTTTTTTCCAGAATCTAGACAAATTATCATAGTAGCAACTCTGTAGTTGTAGCTGGGGGGCGACTATTAAAATCTACACTTCCTGATTTTTTACCATCTTATTTAAATCTTGATTATCCGCTCTATATATACCCACACACACACTTATAATGTTTATGATAGTGTGATAGCAGAATGTATCTTTTTTTTTTTTTTTAAGATTTCCCTACTTTCCAGGTTATTTTAACACAGTAGTTTTCAATGTGTGCGTTTAGAATACGTGAGTAGTGGTCGTACCGCACTGGTGGTTAAATCTGCCGGGGCAGTGTGCGGACATTAGAGGTAGTTTAGTGTTCTAGAAAGGGCTGTGGTCACGGAGAGCGTCTAGAGGACCTTGTGCTCACTGGGCACACGGTGTTGTCTAATGAATTTGAAAGAAGCAAACAAGATAAGGCTGTATTTTCCCCTTGACACTCCCTTGGACTAATTTTGAGCCTCGATGGGAAATCCCTACGTAAGTTCATAATGTACATGACAGAAGTAAGCTTTACATGTGGTTTACTTTTCTTGAGCTCTGGAAATTGACCTTGGCCCTAGTTTTGGAAGTCAGTTCTAGTCTCTCAGTTCTTGATTGTAACAAACATATTGAGGAGTGCGTTGAAATATTGCCTACAAGATTGTTCTTACTTAAAAAAGACGTGCTCCTACTTGCACATGGTGAGAACTGACCCTGGACAGCATATAGGACCCTGTCGAGGTGGTGAGTTAGCTGGTGAGGTGATCACATTAACAAATGTATATCAGTAGTTGAATTTAGCAAAGAAATAGAGATAATCATGATTATACTTTTATTTTTACAGGAAGAGCTATAACTAGAGTATGTCTACAGGAGGAATAATAATGGTTTCCAAAGAGTATTTTTTAAAGGAACAAAATGAGCAGGAATCAATTCTTCAGTATAAGCTATGAAGGGACTAGTCGGCCGTGAGTCATAGTGGTACCAGCGAGCGCCTCTGGGATTGAGGGTCTTTCAGTATTTCTGGAATAAGCCCTTATTTTCAAGGGTTTATAACTGACATAAGAAAATCTTTTTTCTTGGCTAAAACTGCTATGAAAAGCCTCAGCTTGGGCAGTTTTTTTGTTTTTATTTTTGTTTTTTTTTTTTTTTTTTAATTACAAAAATCTAAGTATTTTGGCCCTTTGGTGGAGAGGACTACAAAAGTTGGGAGTGAGAAGTTTTATCTTAAGTACTTTCAGTGCTCAAAACTGAATTGACTGTGTTGTATATAATGACTCATAGGTCGATCATTCATTACTATTGACTCTAAGACTTTTTGTTAGGAAAGCAGCAGAAAGAGTAAATCTTGAATTAACTCTGAGGGGAAATGGCCACTGTGGAGATTCCTTGACTTTTTTTTTTTTTTTTAAGAGCAATAATGAAATTGTACCCAGAATGCATAAGTGAGTGTAGGGACCGTCCAGCAGGTGTTGGTTTCCCCGTGCAGAGGTGGGAGCTGCGTGGAGGGGGTGCCTGCCGTGGGCCAGGAAGCCTCCGGCTGAGATCGTGTCTTCAGCCTCAGCAGAATAGCTGTAGGCTCGGGCGGCTGGGGACGTGGGAGGGGTGGCGAGGACTTGTAGGGCCTCGATAGAGAACTTGATAAGCTCCACTTTTTCCCTGTAAAGACTTGGCTTGCGTCTCGCTGTCACTGAAGGCCATTGTTCCTCTGAGTTCCAACACTTTAGTGCGCCCACGGAGCGGGGACCCAGGGTTCTTCCTGTCCTCCAGACTCTGGCTTGTCCAGTCATCCCGCAGTGTCCTTGAGGTGCTGGGGAACCCGACCGCACCCTCCACTCACCTGAAGGACACGTAGCAGTCCTTCCTCTTTCTGATTTGAATCACAGCCTGGATGTGGTCTGTCTTGTTCTGTGTCCTCGTTCCTAATGTTAACGTGTTGTAACTGCTTCTTGGTTGCACTGGGTAGCATCGGGGTAAGATTTTAACTGGGTATTCTTGAATTGCTTTTACAATAAACCAGTTTTATAACCTTTCATTTTATCAGCTTTTTACATCTTGTGTTCTTTTCAATTAGGGCTTCTTAGATGTACTGACATTGGTGGAGCGTACTGACCGGGAGTTTGAGATTCTCCGAAGCACTGCCTGCGTTGTAGCTGTTTCTAAATACAGTGTCTTTTTTAGAAAAGGAAGAAAGAACATTAAGGGAGTGACTTTATATACAGACATTATTGTTGTTTTAAGTATTCACAGTAAATAGATGCATTCTGAGGGAAACTGGCAGAAACATTAAAAAATAACCCTAATTAATGCTAGCTCATAATTCATACCAGTCAGTGCTGAAGCCCATGGTGCAAAAGTGGGAGGTGGTACCCAGTGGTTGACAGCTCCGTAGGTTTTGGATATCTAAGACAGGAGCAGGAGTGCTCAGATGAATTTTATTGTCGGCAAGCATATTTTTATAAGAATTGTTGGGTGTGCCTATTTTAACAGTTGTTTTCTGTATCATGAAAAGTATTCTCCACAGTTTAAATGTTTTATATTAGAGAAATCTTTAATGCACACTTGTCAAATATATATATATAGTACCCATATCACCTTTTTATTTTTTGTTTTAGATGTAAGAGCATGCTCGTATGTTAGGTACTTACATAAATTGTTACATTATTTTTTCTTATGTAATACCTTTTTGTTTGTTTATGTGGCTCAAATATATTCTTTCTTTAAACTCTTCTTTGTTGTTTTTAACGACTAATATGTTTAAAACTTTTTGGCTTCTTCATGGTCTTCCAGTGGAACAAGTATGTAATGAGAAGGAAGCAAAGCGTGGGTATGGTCATAACTGGTCTGCAGGTTTGAGGGGAAGGTCAGTCTGGCACTGGGGACTTTGGAAGTACAGAGGTCCTTCTTCGAACCTGATGTTCTGTGCCCGCCCCCCGGGCAGACCGTCCATGCTGACGGTGGTGTGTGATGGTGTGTCTGCAGAAGACAGGTCACCCATGGAGAAACAGGGGCTTCCCTGTCTTTCAGAACAGCCTGCGGTTCCATCTCTCCAGAGCGCTTTCTCGTGGTCCCCAAAATAGAGCACTTAGATTGGTGAAAATAGTTACAGATTTAGGTGGTGGGTCCTGAACTCTGAGTAAGCAGTAGATTTGATTGTCTTTGCTTGTACAGTATCTCCAATCCCTGACGCACATCGGCTTCATCGAGGGAGATCCGAACGTCCTGTCTCGTTATGTGTACCATCCTCACAGTAGAGGAGCATCCGTCTTGCAGCCTTGTCTCAACTGCAGTGGAGCCCCTTGGCTCAGGACCACAGCCTGTATCCACAGGCAGTCAGCTTCCCACGGGGTGGCGGAACCCTCTTCCTGACCCTGGGGTCAGACCTCTACACCCTGCAAATAACTGGTCTGGCCAGTGTGGGTCTGCAGAGTCCACACGGAAGGCAATCAGTTTGGACGTGGGGCACGTCCCCCCTTGAGAGAGCGAGGTTGCACGTTCTGAATGTTGGGCAAGTGTTAGTCGTCTTACTGTTTGTTTGTTTTAAAGACCCAAACTAGGGGTGCCTGGGTGGCTCAGTGGGTTAAGCCTCTGCCTTCGGCTCAGGTCATGATCTCAGGGTCCTGGGATCGAGCCCCGCATCGGGCTCTCTGCCCCGGATCCAGCCTGCTTCCCCCTCTCTCTGCCTGCCTCTCTGCCTACTTGTGATCTCTGTCTGTCAAATAAATGAATAAAAAAAAAAAAATCTTAAAAAAAATTTTTTTTTTAATTTAAAGAACCGAACTATAGTAAAGTAGCTCCGTAAGTGAATAAAGGAATTGCTCAGCTGGGGTAAACAGAAAAATGGTTTTCCAGAGACAGAGAAAGCACAGTAACTAGTGAGGCCTCGGGGTGACTAGGGGAGTGGGCAGTAGACCGTGAGTTCTGCCTCCCGCCCCCTGCCCTCCCCTCGCCGGCACATGCAAAACAAGAGCCTCCCAGCCCCCTCACCCCACCCTACCCCATCATGTCGGCTTGGGTTGTGTGCACGCAACCAGCTGCCCTGGTCCTGGCAGCTACAGACTGTGTTAGCGCTATGTGCGCTTCTGGTGAGGATCTGGCTTGATTTCTGGGTAAGCATGTGCGCCACGGGGCTCCAGCCTCAGCTCTGGCAGGACACCTGCTGCGTGGTCCCTGTCCCAGTCCAGGCTGTCGGCATGGAGTTGCTCTCTGTCACTAATCACAAGAAACTTGATGAACTGTCTTCTTTGATGAAAAGTCTGATTGCTGACTTAGAAACCAATCCCATGAAATCTGGTACTGTAGTTTTTCCAGATCACACATGGAATGTTTTTGCTGTATTAGCTGGATGTAAAAAAAACCTCTGTCTAAAATTGCTAAGTTCTAAGTGTAAGCATAGCCTTGAGCGGGGCAGGTTTCATCCTGTCACTAGAGAAACAGGTGCCAGATTGAGGCGTGAGCAAAAGCAAGATGGGATTGG